CACAGGTAAACCCAATGAAAATATTAAGGAATAACGAAATGCGGTCGACGCTCGTAAACATCCAAAAGCCATAAAAAATAATCATGGAGCCGCAGCCGGCAAAAGGGAGCAGCAGGGACCTCTATAAGCTGACCACATCCTTGTGGAAATGGATTTTCCGTTGTATTTGGGAAAATCGTTGGACCAAGGAGCAAAGCCGGCATTGTGCCGGTAAACCATATTGGGCGATAAAACCGAATGAAATTAAAGCCAAGTGTGTGCTGTGTATTTATTTCTCTTTTTGTTTTCGATGGGCGTGGCAGTGGGAAGTTTGACGAATGTCTGCGCTCCTTGCGGGTCTTCAATGGACGGACGTGACGCGACTTTTACTTTTACGACAAACATACATTATAATTAAGGCTGGTTGCTGGCCTGGGCGTGTCCAGCACCGCGAAAGGGGGCGTCAAGGCGAACGCTCGCAATTAATTATAACACCGAAAGTGTCATAAACCTGATGGGAAGCCGGCCAAGAGAGCCGCGAGAGCCACGAGAGCCAGGCTCTTGGCCTGCCAATTAAATTGGCCCAAACCGAAGCCCAAAATCCAGCCACGATGCTGGGGCCCAAGAGGCGGAGTAAACCTCAAGGAATACCCCAGTTAAATACGTCCCTTGCTTAAGTGGGGCATTCCACGGTTTTTTATCCATCAAGCAATATTTTGCGCACGTTTCGGGTTTCTGTTTGAGCGCTACAAATTTTCCTTCTGAACTTTCCTTGGGGTATCACAGTTTTGCTATTGTAATTGATTTCATTTCAACTCAATTTAATTGCCTTGCCTGGCAGGGCATTTAATCTTCGACCACGGCGACATATTTATTTCCAATTGTCCTTTTCGCATTGATGTTGCTCTTTTATCTGGCCACAAATTGAATTTTAAGTATTCCCTTTCAAATTCGTAAATTGCTTCGGCTATTTTATTTCGAATCTTGATTGATTACACTGAGAACAGCCCAGGGCAGTCTGAACTCCCTCCCTTTCGATTCATTTAATGCCACTTGAAGTATATATAAAAACTCAATTGTCTGGTCTCGAGCAGCCAACTCCATAACGAGGCCACAGGCACGGCCAACTGGCCAGCAGACGGACAAATGAATGCGAGGGGGCGGCAAGGTCTCGGGGGCAAACGTATAAATTACAAGCACGTGCTGTCTAACTATAACTGTATATACATGGATACCACCTGGGACGCGGAGAGGAAGAGCTCGCAGCACAACATTTTCAAGTGCCAAAAGCATTTTGCACAAGTCGAAAAATCGCCTGAGTAATTTGCTGCCGCCAGCCCCATCCTGGCAAAGGAGCAGCTCAAGCCGGAGCCCCATACACATATATTGGCCACCTGCAGCAACAACAGACGCTGCTCCATTGCCAAATGCCACAAGGGAGCGCATGCAAAGGGGCTGCAACTGCGACAGCGTTGCGGTCGAAACTTGCCAAATAGCCAAAGCGGATAGCTAACGCGTGGGTGGCCCACACATGGCGCACCCAGGCACCGCTGCATAGCAGACAAAGTAGTGCCACCCGTATCTGATTAATGTCCGTGCGGCTATCTAGCTGAATGCCAGCACATGAGGCCCTAAAATAGTTTAGTCTTCTTCTTACTGTTTTACACAGAAAGCGAGAGAGAGATAGGGAGAGAGAGAGAGAGAGAGGGCATATTGGTTCTTGTAGATCAAAAGTTGTAAATGGAAATTTGTTTCGTGTTTAGTTGAGACTAAATTGTGTTCAAGAACAAGCTCAAGCTGAAGCTGACGATGATTTTTAAGCACTCATTCTACTCTTCATATATATTAGAGTGACCAAATTATGCGAAAAGCTTAAAGGTAAACCCATGTCAAAAATACTTGCTTCTATTTGCTCTCCTCTGTTCTAAAATGGCAAATTCATGTTTGGCTTTTGTATGTAGCATAATAATTTCCTGCAAAAATGATATCATTATAATGTTCTTTTGTTTCAGAGTGACCAAATTCTTCTAAAAATTTTGAGTATGCAGCTATGGGAACAACAAACCTGAAACTTATACTTTAGCTATATACGACATAGCTATTCCTTTGCTAGTGGTGAAGGAGCAGCTGACAGTGAGAATTATCTTCTGATGACTAAGCGGAAGAGTTATAAATGTAAGTAAAACTAAACAGAGACCTCTGTAAGGCAGTGAAAGTTTTTACTGTATTAGAGTGACCAAATTATCTACAATAATTGTCTAATTTTTTTAAGGTTTTATTTTTTTTTTATTTTTTTTTTAAATTCATTATAATAATAAATTATAAAAATAAATTTATTATTGCATAAATAAAAATAATAAACCTTTTAATGCACTAATTTGTAAATCCCAGATTTTTTTTGTATTAATTTGATTAATTTATTATATACATGAGTTATTATTATACTTGCTTTATATAAATAACAAATAGCTCCATAAGTAAGCTCATTATTCTCATTATTTATATTCAACTCAAACATGTCAGCTCTTGCTTAACAAGTATTACGAACTTTGTTACACCCGCTGGCCAACAAATTCGGGCCTGTGGCTCGCGCCACACTCTTGCAACTTTATGACCAGGCCAGGAATGCTGGAATTAAAGTGCGGCGGCTGCTATCAGTTTAAGTGTTCTTTTCTTTTTTTTTTGCCACACTTTACGAGCGTCGCAAGCGTGATTAAAAATGTGGAGCGCATAGTGGCCGGCCGCCCACAACAAAACGAATTGAGCTGTGCGTATGACTGCTTGACTATTGATTAGACGTTAAGTTAAAATAACAACAATAACAACTTGATTGCTTAGGTCAACATTTAAGGCGTCAATTGAGCGGAGAGAAAGAGCTAAAGAAACAGTGAGACAAAGATATATATTTATATATATATATAAATATAGACAAAGAGAGAGAGGGACAAAGAGAGATGCAGAGAGATCCGGAAGCAAGGCATGAGTAAGAGCCTCAAATATATGTAAATGTGACTGGGAACAGCAGCTCATGGCCTGGGGGCCACCTACAACAACTGTTGATGCCAAAGGTAACAACAACAGCAGCAGCAGCAACAACAACAACAGGCAAAAGTGAAAGTGACAAAGTGTAGCTTGCAGAAGGAAACTGAAATTCGAGCGACAATGACAATGCGAATCGACGGCGGACAGCGCTGTGTATCTAAAGCATTAAAAACATTACACTAACAACAACAACAACGATAAAACGAAAAACGAGAAAATAAATAAAAATAATAATATACAAAAGCATCACACACAATGAAACAAGCAAAATAAACGCCGATTGCAATGTTTAAAAAGTGAAACAACAAGCCAAACGAAACGTGATAAATGATAAAGAAACAGCTTTAAGAAAAAAACCTAGTCAGCACAAGTATCTAGAAAGTCCATTGAGGGAAACGACGAAGCCGAGACACCCTTGACTGCGTCTCAAGACGGCTTACAGTTTGGCCTCAGTTCAGCAATCATAAATTAAAGACTTTACAGTTTATCTACAGAACCCAAGACTCGAATATGCAAGTTTGAACTGCAGCTTAAGCTTTGCCTGCCAATTGAAATGTCAAGTCGAGTATGGACATACTTGTGGCAGTTGGGGATAAGGAAGTTTCTCGAAATTAATATCTGACGTTAGAAAGTATTGAAGCTCTTCCAAGTCCCCAGAGAGTAGAGCTTGAATACATCCACAGATACTCATTAAGTAAAAAAAAAATAAAAATCAATAAAATAATAATAAAAAATTCTGCAATAACAGCATCTCATACAAATCAAATTAAACTCAACAAAAACTCAACTCATAAGAAGGCAGAAAATTAAAGCACGCTGCGGATGCTAATAAATACTTATATGCATATATATTCTCTCCTTAAACCAGCTAACATTTTATGATTTACATGAGATGAGAGCGAGCGCCCTGTTAGGGTATTAAAATGTAAAATTCATGTAAAAAGTTGCTCGACTTTGTTAAGTTGGCTTTGCTTTTTGGCCTAGAAAACTGTTTTGTGAAGAGCCAACGGCGGCCGCAGAGATACGGGCGACGGCCGTAACTTTGACTCTAGTTGCGGCTGGTTGCCCGTTGCCCGTTGCCCGTAGCCCGTTTCACATTTTTTTTCATTTACCATTTTGCCATTTCCCAGCACTTTAGCTGGGGCTTCCCCAAACTGTCCCGTCGAACGGCAAGCGGGGCAATCGTGGTTTGCCCTCGGGGCGACCCCCTCGCCGCTCTCTATCCCTCCACGTTGAGTTCAAACGGAAAACTTTGGGAAAATCATTCACACAAGTCAACTTAATTAAAATGGACTTTTCCGCCTCCCAGCCACAGCTTAGCCTTGGCTGCGCTTTATTTTGTCTTCCTGCTTAAGTGGCGAAAACCGTTAATTTGCCCTCCTATGCAAGAGATTAAGAAACGGAAAAAATGATGCCCAAAGACAAATAAGTGACTCGAGAAAAGATGCGAAACTATAAAAAAAAAGTTGCTCCTCAAGCTAAACTTTATGCACAAATTATGGGACTAATGCTGAGAAATTGCTTTTTAATTAGTTTCCAGCGGGTTGGACTTGGTTCTGAGTGTTTAATTAATTTTGATTTTTTTTTTTTGTTTACTATGCTTCGACTGTGGGTCAAGTGAATTATGTGAGGATCTAGAGAGTTTCAACTGAGGCAAAACAATATGAAACGCCTGCCTCCAGCCAGCCAGCCAGCCAGACAATGCCTCACATACTCTAAGCTGTGCCCGTAGCCAGCTGCTGGCTCTTATCGCCTGGCTGCCAGAGGCTTTTCATTGACGTCGTAATCCACATATGGAAGCCAATGCATAGATATTAATAGGACTTACGCACAATCAAAATGCACAGGGGCGTAGAGCACAAAAATCAATTAAGCTCCGGCGCAGGCAACTGGGAAAATCTGAATTCTTTGCATTTTTGTTGGCTGGCAATAAATAAATTTTGGCTGGGATTTTTTTTTTTTTTTGTAATTTTGTCACCGTTGTTTTTTTTTATTGTGCATAAAGTACTTAGAGCTAATGATATAATTAAAGTATATTTATATTTATATGTATTATGTATTATGAATGGAGTTATATATCAGCTTGCGCATTATCATCATCTACTAGCTTCTCCTTCTACTTCTTCATCTTCATCTTCTTCTTCTTCTTCAATTCATTTTCTTTTCCGTTGCTCGAATGCCAAGTGGAGTTCCCTACCCGGAGAACCCGGCACTTGTCACCTATTAGCTAAATGGATTTGGGTTAGGCAAGTGTGAGAAACAGACGAGATTGTGTGTGACAGAGAGAGAGAGAGATAAAGAGAGAGAGCGAATGTGAGTGAGAGAGGAAGAGATGAAAATGGTGATGCCTCGAGTGATGCTTGGTGAGTGTGGAAAGTCGGAAACATTTTTATATACAAAAGTGTCGGACGACAGAGGCGTCCATTCGTTTGGGGACTGGAACGGATGCTGGGTGCGTCTTCTCGTCCAGAGTTTTGGGTCAAGTCGCAGTTGCAGTGTTGAGTGTGGGCGTGTTTGTCGGGAGGAGTTGATTGTTAGCGCGTCAACGACAGGACTAGTCAGCAGCTTGAACCGAGTGTGTGTTTGTCTGTTTGTCCGATTGTAGCTAGATCGAGGTGTGACTTCTATGCCGAGCTGCTGCTTAATAGGGGCCAGACTTGCCGGGTGGGCCGTAGTTGCTCGACGGCGCCGAGATGCCACCGCCTGAGAGATCACCGCCAGAGAAGCCGCCATCGCCGCCGCCAGTTGTGTATCCGCTGCCAGTGTTGGTCTGGGTGAAGCCACCGTTGCCGCCGCCAATGCCGCCGCCGATGCCACCGCCAATGCCGCCACCGATGCCGCCACCGATGCCGCCTCCAATGCCACCGCCGCCGCCGCCCTCCTTTTGGGTCTTGTACTTGATGAAGTAGACCTCGGGCTTGGAGGGCTGCGTGGGTGCTGGCGTGGGAATGACAATGTCTTGCTGATCCTCGGGCTTCTTGACCAGCACGTAGACCAGGGTCTTCTCCTCGTTCTGGGGCTGCAGCGGGATGACCGGAGCCTGGTACGAGGGTGGAGATGGCGCCTTAATGAAGATGATCTTGTAGTGCTTCTGGGCCTGGCCGACGGGCAGGTTGGGTCGCTGACGCACTTCCTCCTGCTCTGGTGGTGGCACATGCACATAGATGTGCTTCTGCACCAAAGTGGTGCCGCCACCGCCGCCGCCGCCTCCGAATCCACCGCCGATGCCTGTAAAATTATCCAAGATTAGCTGTGAACTTAGTTTAAGTGGGAGATCGACGCACCGCCTCCGAAACCACCGCCGGATCCGCCACCGAAGCCGCCGCCACCGCCGCCGAATCCGCCACCGCCTCCTGAGCCGCCACCGAATCCGCCACCGAACCCGCCGCCAACTCCGCTGGAGCCGCCGAATCCGCCACCGGAGCTGCCTCCGAATCCACCGCCGCCGCCGCCAATGTTGCCACCGCCGCCACCGGGACGGTTGTAGTTGTAGCCAGCTTCAGGGCGCGCCGCGGCCAGAGCCAGGCAGGACATTAGGATGAAGGTTTTCATGGCGTATACGTTTGGGTATATGTGTATATTCACGGATTAGCACTCACACACTTGCACTGTCACAGTAATCCCGGGTCTGTGCCGTGTATTGGTGTGGGAGCCACAGATGCGGATGGATAGATGTAGATGTGGGAGAGAGATACGTTGGTTAGGTTGCCTGCCAAGCTGGATGCGGCTAAGGTTCTCACGTTTTGATTTGAGTCTTTCTCTCAACTATTTACAGCTATCCTCGGACTCGGTTCGCCGATGTTTATTAGACCAAATCAAATGCTTCACTGACGAACCAATGCAGCCGCATCATCAATTTATACAAAAAATCCAAGCAACATAGATGCCACAGTCGCAGAGTCGGCACACTCGCAACAGTCGCCGAAAACTCAGTCGGCCAGCGGCACACACAGACACGCACACACACACACTCACACACACGCACGCTGATCATGATGATGCGACTGTGCGCATGTGTGGCCCAGGCCCGTAGCTGGCCAGCGAGCTGGCCAATAATGAGCAGCTTCCCTCTCGCTCAGCCACACTCTTACTCTCTCCCTCTCGCTCTCTTTCTTGGCTGTCTGTGAGTTTTGTTGTTGCCAAGTCTCTCGAAGTGTAGGACAGGCGCAAGTGAAACCGAAATTACAGCACAATCAACTTATTACCGCACAGGCAGCGCGGCAGAGCCACAGAGCTTTACGATTTCCCGCCTGTCGGATGTGGCGCTGGCAGAGAGCTGCCTCAGTTGGTGCTGCTGCTGCTGCTGCATCATCACCATCAACAACAGCAGCAGCAGCAGCAGCTGCTCTCACTCTCCGGGTTGAACCCAATGTCGTGCACTTTCGCTCTCGCTGGCCAAGCAACTGCCAGCCAGCAGCTCCCAGCGCCCATCGGCGTGCTGGCACTTGAGCTGCGGCAGGCCGAGCGTTCGGCTGCGGCTTTCCTCGGGGGCAACTCGAACTCTAACTCTAACTGAAAATGAAAATGAAAATGCGCTCACGATCGTCGTCGTCTTGTAGCTGGCGTACAAAAGTGAAATTCGTTCGAAAATGCCCTGGAAAACGCTGAGCAGAGTCTCAGACTGAATCAGTTCGTTGTTTAACAATGGCAATTTGAATAATTTCGTGCGCGTGTTGTGGATTTTCCTGCAATTCGAATCTGGGCTGCCATTGTGCGGCAATCTCTAAATAGCCACATTCATACATACATAAACATATACACATATATTTGAATCTATATATGTTCACATGCTTGTATGATAAATGAGAACATGTGCGAATCGAGAGTTGCAATTGGAGCAAGTGTTGTGTATTTAAATCGAACTCATTGTGATACCCAGCGCGTACTATTCGGAAATGTACAGTAGACATTGACTAAGTTGACT